AAAACTCACCTGCCTATAGCCTTAGTAATCCTGAAGACATTGATTAGCTCGTTCAGGTGTGTTTGATTAGGGTTGGAGCTGAACACTGCAGGACTGCGGCTCTCTAGGACCGAACTTGCCTACCCCTATCCTAGTCTATATTTTCATAATTTAATATCTAATCCTTTTTATTTGTCTCCCTTCTCTGTCCTGTAGGTATTTTGGGCTCCCCCTCTCAGGAGGATCTCAACTGCATTATCAACATTAAGGCGAGAAATTACCTGTTGTCACTTCCTCTCCGCTGCAAAGTGCCCTGGAACCGCCTGTTTCCTAACGCCGACCCTAAAGGTCAGAGGTCATCTCCACACCCGCACACAAAGAAACTAGTCCTCGTATCTTGAGACCAAGCCACCTTAAACACTCACATTCTGACTAATTTTAACAACATATATTTAAATTTGGGGTTATAACAATTAAAAGCTTAATAAAAGAGCAGCATCCACTAGAGGTTTGTTTTTAATGAACTGGTGTGATATTTGTATATATTCTTGTAGCGTTGGACCTGTTGGATAAGATGTTGACCTTTAACCCTCATAAGAGGATTGAGGTGGAGGAGGCGCTGGCTCACCCGTACCTGGAGCAGTACTATGATCCCTCAGATGAGGTCAGTTCACTACTAGTTTTCTTTTTTAAATTTAGTAAGAAATAGCCTTAATAAATCGTATTAGGGAAAAATATTCCCCTAAGATAACAATGCACTATGAGACAATAAGCAATTATTATTATTATTATTGTTGTTTTTGTTAATAGTAATGGTTATCTTCCATTTAATAATTAATAATAATAATAATTTATGCATTTAGCATAAATTCTGAATGAATCCAAATTCAGGTTATACATTTTTTATCAGTATGTGTGTTCCCTGGGAATCGAACCCACAACCTTTTGCGCTGCTAACGCAATGCTCTACCACTGAGCCACAGGAACATACATTTACATGCTTAATAATATGTATACATGCTTATATATGATTATGAACAATAAGAGCAACAAGACAACAATAATAATAATCTTGCATTTACATGCTTAATAATCACCATCATTAAATATTTAAATAAAGTAAAAAATAAATATATATTCTTATATTCTGCTGTCAGAAACACTAGCTTCATCATATTCTCTGCTGGTTCCTATTAGGAATGGGCCGATTACCGATTTCAAGGTATACCGCCATTTTGAAAATTTCACGGTTTCAAAACCGCTAATATTTTCTGTTATACCGTTCCTGCGGTATGTGCTGTTTTTCATGTCTCCTCAAAGACTGAAAGTGTAGTAATCCCTCAGGTTGAGTGCAGTGTAGAGAGTAACACGACCCTCCTCCTCCTGTTGGTGGGAGCGAGCGGTCAGTCACGTGTGTGTAGGATGGACGAACTTCAGGAGCTGACCCTTGAACTTACGCGATCGGCAACTGGCTGTTTTTTGTCTTATTGCAAGCAACTCGTCTCTGTTCTGGACTTGCACAAACTGCGTTGCAATGCAGTCGTTTTACAAATTGTCATTTATGTGAAAATATGAAGTCTGTAAACGCCCGTTAACACAGGCCAGAGACGCTGAAGACGGACGCACAGAGAAAAATACTGTAGCAGGCAGATCACTCACTGTTCATGATGCACGAACTATTGGAAGAAAATCCTCAATATTGATTTGGGGGTTTATATGAATGTGTTTCTGAGGGGAACATGATAAAGTTTATGTGGTATTTTCTTTCAATCTCGTCTGTATAGTTCATATTAAAGCAGTTTTTCAGAGCAGTGCTGCTTTGTTTACAGCGGTAACCAAGGAAACGCCGTGTCTGGTGTTCCAGAACCGCCTCCTGCTGTCAGAGAGTGAATCTGCATCTCATTTAGAGCTTCTGCTGAATTATATAACTAAATGATATGAAATGATATAAATGATATGTATATAACTAAAATTAAATAACTGTAATTTCAGATTTAGGTTAAACAAAGATGTCAGTCTTTATTTTTCTTCTTTTTAGGAAACCAATCAAAGAAAAAAATAAACAAATTCTACTGTTCCTAATATTCTGTATGTTGCTCAAAAACAAAATATATTGTGTTCAGTGGAATTTTAGTTCTTTTTTTACCCAGTCGTTTAAAAATAACACATTTTAGAGCTGTAATGACAATACCGTGAAACCGTGATATTTTTTTTGCTTAAGGTTATCATACCGTCAGAATCTCATACCGGCCCATGCCTAGTTCCTATCTTAGAATTTATGGTGGTCAAAGGTTGAGAGCGTTTCAAACATGAGCACTATGAAGTGCACTTTAATAGCCACATGGCCACAATAAACTTTGACTGTCTGTAGAGTGTCTGGTAAAATGGAATGGGTTGTTTTAGCATGTGAATGTAAAGATTTCTAATGCTACCATGTCTTGTCTGATTAGCACATTTTCCATTTTTTGCCTTCTTTCACAACAGCAATTTTGATGATGATTATTGTGTCTATGACTGTATTGTTTTTATCCAGAAATCACAAATTGCATAGAGTTTAGTACTGGTCTTATTGCACAAACGGCAACACTGATGACTGTACTTGATAAATGTAGGACTTCATCTACCAACACTGAGAAACGGTTGTAGTACCATGAATATTGTTGTATTGGTATAAGCAAATGAATTGTGGGTAAAGCATTTTATCTGACAGTAACTATGCTTTATTTGTCCTTTATAGCCTGTTGCTGAGGCTCCGTTTAAGTTCGATATGGAGCTAGATGACTTGCCCAAAGAGACTTTGAAAGAGCTGATCTTTGAAGAAACTGCACGCTTCCAACCAGGCTACAGACCATAGCCTATCACACAGGTAAACTGCAGACTGAAGCCAGATGCATGCATCAAATAAACAACAAAATCAATCACATAGGTCAAAGAAAAAAAAACGCGCACAGATGAGTCAATTTTCCATGTAACTGTGAGTGAGTGGTGAAGAATCCAGTCATTTTGAGCTCTTAAAGCGGACTTTCCATTCTGTTAATTTCTTAAAATGATTCATAGTTTCTCAGCTCTCCAGTCTTGAGTGACACATGATTCTTCAGAAATGATTCTAATGTCATTTGCTGCTTGAGAAATGTTTATTACAGTTTTGGTCTGTTTAATGCAACATTATGGAATAAAAAAAAAAAAAATGTTACTAACCCCAAACTTTTAAAAAGTAGTGTTAATGTGATGAACATACATAAATGAATGGGTTTGTCAGTAGGGCTGAACGATTAATTGCATTTGCGATTATATCGCAATATGAAAAAACAAGATTTTTCTATCGCAGAGGCTGCGATTACACTCGGTCACGTGACACGCGAGAGTAAAGAGGTGT